CCCCAAAACCCCAAAACCCCAAAACCCCAAAACCCCAAAACCCCTAAACACATAGGATTATTGAAAAATTCTTTAAAATTTATGATATTTGGAGGTTGCTCTGCTATAATTCTTGGCTTTGCGCAAACTCTCACTCTTAGACAGCATCGCCCGGATTATACTCCTTTCCTCAGTAACGATATCAGGTAAGTGCTGGTGAGGCACTCGAGGAGGAGAGTGGTTGCTGTGCAACCACTCTGAACCTTCTTGAACAGAACTCTGATTCAGAAAACTCACATAACTAGCAGTGTAACTGTGAGGAACTAAGAAACTATTCTCTTGATCTCTGATTTTAGGACTGGATTTTGTCGAAGAAATCTGATTTTTCTGCTCACTTGACCAACTATTCAGCTTATTTCTGTAATAAATTGGCGACATGTTATTTCCGAGGATTCTGACTTTCCTCTTGTGGGTTTGTCTCCTCCTTTGATGTCCTCTTTGGAAATTGCTTCTGGATGAATAAAGGCTACATATTAGTAGATATTTTACTCCTTTTCTCGCATATTTTTCATCTTTAAATTTTCTATTTATTGTGAAGAGGGAAAGTTAGTGAAAACAGAATTTAGGAGATTTTCATTTAGCATGGATATCTGATAGCTGTAAAATAAATCCTAGTATTCCAAAATAGACAAATTTTGGTAAATTATAGGCTGTCTGAAGAATTAATGGAGCATTTGAGAATAAGATCTAATTTGGAAAGTCAACAAGCGAGTTGGGCTATTCAGATAAACTTAAATGTCTATAATCTCAGAGAGAATTAGGCTTGAGATATACTAATTTAAAGCTTACTACAAATCTTGAAGACATTGCAAAGGTCTCTTGGTGTTGAATCTATTGCATCTTTCAGCCAGTAAGAACTTATTTTTATTCATAAATTTCATCATCTCAGGCGACACTTTCCTATTTTCCTGGTGCCTGCCTCTTCTAATAACATTTTTCACTCTCAATTTCCTCTTAAAATCTCCTGTTTTATTTAACTCTTTCTCTTTCCATACCCCCTAAACTCCATTCAAACTAATCAAAATCTCAAAATCCAAAAACCTCCACACTCTCCATCCCCTCTAGGACCCTTAAAACACCTCTAAAAGCCCTAAAACCCTCTCCCAACCCTCTTTAACCATCCTCCAAGTCCTGAACCCCCTTCACTATTACCAATAATTATCCTTGGTCCTCCAATAATAACTTGATTCTGGCTGAGATCAATAGCTTTCAACGGTTTCACAGTTGTCCTGTTTTGCCTATCCTTTAGTCTAAAATGTTAATGATTTTGGAGAATACTGGGCTTTTTGTTTCAAAGAAGGAATCACTGAGTTGTGGTTACGAGTCTGAGAATTTGATTTTGTGATAATGACTTCATGAACACCTCCTGAAAATCTTGGTGGTAAGGGTGTATCATTCTCAAAATTGCCTCAATTAGGCTTAATCAAAGCTTTGCTCTTTTTCAGCTTATTTGTACTCTACATATAAATTTAGCACAAAAATTTCATCGAAATTCCAAGGGCAGATCTGAACCCTGACCGCTAGGCATTTAGGGAGATAAACAAAAGTATTTAAGCTTAATAATCCATACATTCTAGAAGTATGCCAACACTGGGCTTACCTTCAAAACTAAAGAAATTCTTGCTTCACATTTGGTTCCGAACTTGGTCAGTACTGTTATAAAGTGTCTCTTCCATAAGTACAAGTCTGCCTAAAGGAATATGAGGGGATGAAAGTACTGCTAAATAGCAAAGAAAAATGGCAGAATGCATTCTTGGAGAAATCACCAAACCATTTTACCTTATTTATCAAAATTATTTCAAGTTTCTTTTATTAAAATGGGGTTTTGGGGTTTTGGGGTTTTGGGGTTTTGGGG